TCTAACACGAGTCTACATAATAGTAATCGCGAAAGTAACTAAGTATAGTATCGACGTACACGTATCTATTATCATTTCGATTTGTCGATTTATTAATCGACCATTAACGTACTTCAATTTGCAGGGATAATTAGAAGTATTATTATCGGATAAATCTGTTAACGATATACGAATAGAGACGTATCATTTCTCTGATCGATAATAAGTACCGACGTGTGTTTTGTAATTTAGGTTGTAATTCGATTTTCATTGTAATCCACCGGCGAATGATCTTCGTTTAACGAGAACGAGCAACGTTACGATAGAGTTACGAATTATATTGCTTTGAAAGTACGAAAAAAAAAAAAAGAAAAAAAAAAAGAAGAAGAAAAACAATTGATAAAAATCTAATAAACGATATACGATATTTTTCTTACGATAAAACAATTTGATCTATCGTCCGTCTGATCGTCTTACGAATGAACCTTATCTGAACGTATATACGTACGTAACCATATGTTAACTTCCACTTCTATATCGCGGTATCTTACGAATTTAATTACAAAAATCGAAGAGAGTTCGGTACACTTACCGACCATTAATGCCGTCACTTGCGCGGCTTTAGCCATTAATTCTGCTAAAGCTGAAGGTCCTGGTTACGAGCCAGTTAAAACGTGGCGACCGTCTGCCCTATCTTTCTCTCTCTCTCTCTCTCTCTCTCTCTCTCTTTCTCTCACACTCTCTCGCTTATCGTTTCATCCTCCCTTCGTGATCTCCGAAAACCCTCGGAGCTCAAGCTGCGTTCTCCGCAATTTGTTACCAAATTTATTATACTCGTGAAGGAAGAAGAATCGAGAAAGAGAGAGAGAGAGAGAGAGAGAGAGAGAGAGAGAAAGAGGATGAGGTGGAGGATGAGGTGGAGGATGTTCCAAGGCAAAAAGTTAGACGAAAGATCGAAGAACGGAAAACAACGGGATTACGAATGACGTATCGTTCCACGATACATTTCTCTCGTTCGATCGTTTATCCCCCACCCACATCCTATTTTCCTCCACTCAAACTTCTTCTTCTTCTTCTTCTTCTACTACTACTACTACTACTACTACTACAACTTCTTCTAGTTCTTCTTCATCTTCTCCTTCTTCATTTTACCACGTTCCTTCGCTTATTGCCGGAATATCCGGACTAGTACATTTAACCGTCGTATCTTACCAATATCTTTAACTCGAATTGTTCCTTTAGTTATTTCCTTCCTTTTCCAAACGAGTTCATTTATCTTCAGAAACAACAACTAACGACGGCTTTTAGCTTCACTTTTAACAATTTCACCGGGGATAGGATACCTTTACGCGAGATCTTTACTTATCTTTGTATTTCTTTTTTTCCCTCTTTCTCTTTCGTCTCTTTTTTTCCGTTTTCTTTTATTTTTTTGTTTTTTTTTTTGTTTTTCTTCTTTTCTTTTCTTTTTTTTCTTTTTTATTTTTTCTTCTTTTTTTTTTTTCTTTTCTTTTCTTTTCGAATACACCGTGACTTCGATCGTACCGCTTGTTTCGTGCAACGCGTTTCTAACCGACCTTAGCTCTTTCCCTCTCCCTCTCTCTCTCTCTCTCTCTTATTCTCGTTCTAACTCTCTCACTCACACATACACACACACACACATTCTCTCTCTCTCTCTCTCTCTCTCTATATATATATATATATATATATCCGTTTCTCGTTTCATCCTCTTCTTTCTTTCTCTCCCTTACCCAGTGCATTTATCTGCAGCATCCGTGCGGAATACTCTCTAATCCGCTCATTACCGCCAAGCTTCCGCCTTCCCGTTCGGAAAGTCGCCGTTTATCGTGGCAGTGGATTAAATGGAAACTTTACGTCTATTAAGAGCTTAATTATCAACGTCATCGTTGCTCGAGATTGTTTCCTTCTTCATCGAACGTCTACTTCACATCGATCGTACCTCTCTCTCTCTCTCTCTCCCTCTCCCTCTTACTCTCTCTTTTCGTTTTTCTTTCGGATTATCAAAATATTCTAGTAGCTAATTTACTAAAAAGATAATCAGTGGAAGTTTAACAAATGAGAGAGAAAGAGAAGGAGAAATACAAAGAGAGAAAGAGAGAGAGAGAGAGAGAGAGAGAGAAATCGTAAATAACGTAATTAATAAGCATTCGGAAGCACAAAATGATATTTTATAACTCATCCGTCGTTAACGTGGTGCATTTGCTCAATACGAAGATTCATCGCGTATTACAGACTATTACAGTATAACCCACCACGTAGTGTACTATTCATCAATTACGAAGCTCTAATTGGAAGCGCCTAATTGACATAGTGCAACGGATGCATGGTCACTAACTATCGAGTATACCTCACAATGAGACTCGTAGGATCGCCTAACGTCCAAATACATTTACAAATTAATCAAATAATTAAATCATTCATGTGGATGCACACGCGCTTAGCTTTCAATAATAATAACGACGATTAAACGACGAACGTAATAAAAAGAAAGAAATAAATATAACCTGCGTCTGTTATATAATTATAATAAATACATAAAGCGATTTTTTTTTTTTTCTATTCTCGATAGTCTCGATTTGAGAAAAACGAAAAAAATAAAAAGGAAAGAAATAAAAAAAGGAGCAGTTAGAGAGGATATAAAAGTAAGATTGAGGAAAGAATATTGGATAGGAATTAAACGTCGATAAAAATAAATTTTGACGCTTAATTCCGTTGTTATAATAAAAAAAAAATTTCGCGAGTGCGAATCATAATGTTTCTTTTCTTTTCTTTTTTTTTTTTTCTCCCTCCTCCCTAGAGCATCAAATGATTCTAGGACGCGTTTAAAATGCTAAAGGGGGAGTTTCATTCGTCTCTTTCTCATTCGTTTTCATCCTTCGACTTCCTTGTTCGCCTCGGGGCATTGTTAACTCGTACACGTTACGTCCGCATTCAGCATTCTTTTAGGACGAGAGGAATCGCGAAAGAGATTCGCTTTTTTTTCTAACAGCTACAACCAGAGCCACCTTTCTGCATCTCCCAGTTGTTTCCGCGAACGTTATTAGTGAGCGCGGGAGCGCATTTTTGCATTCGATTTCCATTTCCGTTCGGCCTCTAGTTAGTAAAAAGGATCGTCCAATTTTTTTCTTCTTCTTTCTCTCTTTCTCTCTTTCTTATCTTTTTTTCCTTTCTCTCTCTCTCTCTCTCTCTCTCTCTTTCTCTCTCTCTGTTTTTTCTATTTATTTTCTTTTTTTTTCTTTTTTTTTTTTGTAGTAACGCAGCTACTATTCTAGAATAATTTTTCTATATATATATGTGTGTATATGTATATACTATTGTTTTGATTTTCTTAAATATCAATTAAAATTAAGAATTATATATAAAAAAAAAAAAGATTATATATATAATATATATAATTACTTGAATAGAAAAATGAATTGAATAAAATTAAAAGTTGGAATAAATTTTAAATCCAAACGCATAATTGTTCTATCTAACGTTATTTATCTTTACGTTATATACAAATTAAATGAACTTTTGTTTTCTTCTGTATTAATTATATAAAATTACAAAAGAATTATATAATATCATTATATTGCATTGTAATATCATTAATATAATTTATATGAAATAATAAGAATTTATTATATGAAATAACGAAAAGAAAATGTTCTTCTTTACGATGTCAAAATATATACATAAGTACATACATACGTCGTAATATCGTTTTGAAAACGTCTTCTCGAAAAATTCAACATTATTGCCGATTTCTACGAGAAATAGGATCTACGATGGCAGATAACTTACTTATGTACATAAACACATAGAGATAGATAGAGCTTAGATCGAAATACATACATATATACATACGTACATACATAGATAGATACATACATAGATAGATACAGTGGACGACGCAGGTATGCACGGAAAAGTAGTTTTGGGACTATACCAGGTATACCTATCGAGAAATATTTCGATTGGGAAAGAGTCCGAGGAATAAGGATATTCTTCCAAATGCAACCAACTCGAAAGGATTTATCTGAGCGAGCGTGTTATTATAAACGATCGAGAATAGTAGTTCATACCTCGCGATGTTGTCTCCAAAAGAGGATTTTATTCTCGTATCGTATCTTGTGAATATACCTAAAAACGTCAAGAGAGATAGATAGATAAATAGATAGATAAAGAGAGAGAGAGAGAGAGAGAGAGAGAGAGAGAGAGAGAGAGAGAAAGAACAATGAGAGTAACGAAGACGAGAAAAAGAAAAAGAAGAAGAAGAAGAAGAAGAAGAAGGTAGGAAGAAAAAAGAAAAAAAGGTAGTTCTCTTTCATGAGGGACGATGAACAACCATGATAGAGACCTATGGCTCGGCAGGTGGCTTTAAACCCTTCGCCCGTAGGATATTTTTGATACTAATCGCGAGAATTTTCAGACAGTTACTTCGCTCGATTTTACAAGATAACACACCCACGCGTCTATAGGTTCCTTCAGGAGTTAAAACCTATCGATAGATACATCTATGGTATCTTTACTCGGACGTTCCTTTACTCTCACGAACGCACATTCCTATTTCGTTCCGAATTCAACAACATAAATCATGGAAAAGGGAACAAGGTAAGAGTAAAGGAAGAGAGAAAGAGAGAGAAAGAAAACTGCGTGGTCGACGGGATTACAAAGCATCGACTGCCGGAGATTGTAGCTTGTTTTGGGTCCTCCGAGACGAGAGAACTTTGTATCGTCCTATGGTATAGAAAAATGAAACGCACTTCATGCATTATTCAGAACCTCTTACCAAAGCCCCTACTACATGGGCACCACCCAAAGTCCTCCCCTTTCGCGTCCAGAGATAATATGCACTTCGCAGAAGCGTGTCTACTATGCAACTATTCTTTTTCTTTCTTTCTTTCTTCCTTCCTTTCTTTCTTTCTTTCTTTCTCTCTCTCTCTTTCTCTCTCTCTCTCTCTCTCTCTCTCTCTTTCTCTATCTCTATCTATCTATCTATCCATCTCTTTCTATCTTTTTAACCAGTTCTAAAAGTTTATTTTGTTCTTCACAAGTACGATGTTCATACCCATTTACAATGCAACCTTCAAATGGTCTTCAACGGAATTTTTTGAATTTTCAATAAGTTTAAGCGTGCTCTTAAGGAATTCATTTTTATTTAGTTTTATTTCTCTTTCTTCTTTTATCATTTTTTTCTTTCTCCTTCTCAAAGCAATCGATTTCAATTAACAATTCCACCAATTTTGCATAGAACTCATATTACATATATATATATATATATATATATATATATATATATATATATATATAGAAAGAGAGAGAGAGAGAGAGAGAGAGAGAGAGAAAGCACGCGCATTTCTATATCATTGATCGAATACGTGCAATTAATATTCCTACCGAAGGCTAGGAATATTATTCTCCGTGCAAATGGAAATTTCTATACTTTATATAATAATAGACATATATTTTCATGAAAATACTTTTTTATATTTTAAATTGTAATAATTCCTTTCTATAATAATTCGACACACAAACACACACACACACACACACACACACATATATATATACAGCATTCCTTTTTATCGTATAAAATTCAATGCTTCGTACTTCTGCATTTTTTACTTCCTTCTTCCTCTTTTTTTTTTCTTTTTGTCTTCTTTTAATTATTAATTCGTACGTACAAATTCAAAAATGTTTATACGTATACGATAAGAAAGCGTATAGTTATATGTAATAGTCAGTTACCATGCGATCCAACATTCTTTTAACATGACCAATGGACTTTTATTAACGTTTAATATGTCTGACTCATCAACGTCCAGCCAAAACTAATTTGAGGATGGTGAGATCTAACGTAATCAAAAAAAGGAAAAAAAAAAAGAAAAAGAAAAAAAAAGAAAAGGAAAAAGAAATTAGAAAGAGAAAAAACATCCTTTTTACGGTCATTCACACGTTATACATTCACGTTATACATATATCGTATAACGATGTACGCATACATATATGAAAACATTCACATATCCAAAAAATATCTTTACATCTACATTTTTCAGTCTAAAATCGTTGACAACGGTCGAAAAAGGGGAACGAGCCGAAAGTTATTCTCGAAACTAATTAAGAAGAACATACTTACTTTCTCTCTCTCTCTCTCTCTCTCTCTCTCTCTCTTTCTCTCTCATTTCATTCCCTTCCTTGCCTCCTTCTTAATGCGTTAAAGCACTTAAATTTTTAACAATTTTTCAGACGGCCCTTGGACGATGTTCTTCTCTCTTTGCACGTTAGAACATAACGCTTAGAACGACCGTTGTTTAGCTCCTTAGTTATTTAAGATTCAACAAAATGCGTTCGTCCATTTACAGAGAAGCCTGAAAGAAAATCATGGAAAATTATAATGCGTTAAATGAAGATAACTTTTTCACGCGTGAACTAACAAAAATTTACGTTACTACAACGCGATTATATAAGTATAACTTTTCGTGTTAGTTAAAAAAAAAAGAAAGAAAAAAAAAGAACAAAAAAAAAAACAAAACAAAAAAGAGAGAAAAAGAAAAAGAATAAAAGAGAAGAAAAGAAGAAGAAACAGATTGACTATAAAAATGTATGTACATATGTACATATATATATATATACGTACGTAAAGAAGGATATTAAATATTAAACCTTTGAAGTAAGAAACGTAAGTATAAAGGAACAACAATATGTTCATGGACAACGTCATCTGTAACGAGAATAAAAAAAAAAAAAAAGAATTTCTCTCTCTCTCTCTCTCTCTCTCTAACTTTCTATTCATCCATCTATCCATCTATCTATCTATTTATCTATATATCTAACTATCTATCTCTGTCTAACTGAGTACAATTAAATATCTAAGTATAGAAGACACGGTATATACGTGAGCCAAACGGTTCCCTCGTGTTACATACCTATTACACATCCCTTTAAACCATTATTCCTAATACTAATCAGATGAGATCTAATAGTCGATAAGATTCCAGCCGATATTTTGTGCCAGGTTAAAGCAAACGATGCCGTTGTCGTTGTCATTGTCGTTGTCGTCTTCGTCGCCGTCTTCATTCACCTTTTATTCCTTTTTATCGAATGAATTGAAAAGGAAAGTTCTCCGATCGTAGAAGAAAAGAACGAAAAGGATTGTAAGGATGAAGGACAAGGGAAGGATAAGATATAGAAGGTATAGAAGGGTGTATGGGTATCAGGAAAGAGATAGAGATAGATAGATAGATAGATATATATAGAGAGAGAGAGAGAGAGAAAGAGAGAGAGTGAGGATCGTGAGAGGGACAAACCAAGGGGGAAAAAAAACGAAGCTGGACAAAAAGATATACAGATATGGTGGCAAGGTGGCTTGAGTTAGAATGAGACTAGGTAGGATTAAAGCTTAACTCGCCAACAATGTCACATAACGTGCTGTAGAACGGGGTAAAAGGGTAAAAGAGAGAGAGAGAGAGAGAGAGAGAGAGAGAGAGAGAGAGAAGGAAAAGAGAGAAAGGGAGTAATATGGTTCTCCCCTCGTCTGGAAATTTCTTTGCCTTATTTAATAGACCGTAGGACGATCCTGAATCGCTATTGTGACGAACACGGCTTAAGTTCGTGTGTTCGTTCGAGAAAAACAGAAAAAGAGAAGAAGAAGAAGAAGAAGAAGAAGAAGAATCAGACGACAGAAAAGAGTGAGATTAAAAGAGAGAGAGAGAGAGAGAGGAAAGGGTGAGGTCGCTTGAAAATTGTGCCACGTAGGTAGCTACGTCCTTAAATACATCCTACACCCTTGCGCAGCCGGTATTTCGAAAGGAGGAAGGGATTCTTTTCTAAAAAAAAAAAAAAAAAAAAAAAAAAAAAGAAAAAAAAGAGAAAGAAAGAAACATGAAAAGAAGAACAGAAGGAAAACTAGAAAAGGAGAATGAGAAAGAGAAATAGAAAGATGGAGAGAGAAAGCAAAAGAAAAAGATTCGCCTATAGTTATATATATATATATATATAGGACAAAGCTAAGTTAAATAATGTATGTACGTATGTATGTATATATGTATGTATGAATATATGTATGTATATATCTACATACCCAGATCGATCCCAACGCAGCCCTGGAGCAGCCCTTTAGCTAAAGAATGCGAGAGATAAAATCGTGCAACCGCTGCATTAGCGATCCCTCGACGGAGGGTCTGACGCGTCGCTTTTGTCGCGTTCGTCCGTCTACGCGTTAGTTCACATATATATACATCCATATATATATACATGTATATACACACGTACGTATGTTTATGTATATGTGTATACGTGTTAAGAGCGAATGTGATACTTATACATGGAAAAAGAGGAGAAACGAAGGGGAGATCGTACTTAGCAAAGAGTCGTGCAAACACATACGCAATTCTATGCGAACTTTTGGAGAATGTCTCCTCTCCGATGTGTTCTCTATCTCTTTCTTTATCTCCCTCCCTCCCTCTCTCTCTCTCTCTCTCTCTCTCTCTCTCTCTTTATTCTTTTTCTTGTTCTATCTATCTATCTCTGTCTATCTTCACGTTCCATTCTTTTTCTCCACCCTTACATTTGAAACGTGCAAGTACGCGTGCGAACGCTTTTATACTCCGCGTCCTTTTCTCCCCGCATGAAGATGACACTCCGCGTCATTTGCAAAGTATCCAAAACGCCGTCTGTGTAATGTACGGATGGCATTAACCTATGTCAATGTATGTATGTATGTGTGTGTGTCCGTGTGTGTGTTGATACACGTGGATCAAGACGTAAGAGAGAAACTGTTCCTGTGTTACTATGGTTTTTAACCTCTGACGAACGTGCTAAACTTTTTTCTCATTCCTTTGATGTATATATATATATATATATATTTTTTTTTGTCTTTTTTACTTTTATTTTTATTTCATTTTTCACAGAAAATTTAGTTGTTATCTTTTTTTCGATATTACTTTTATTATTTTTAACGACAACGACAACCTTGAAACACTAGGAATATATACTAGTTGATTACTTTCGTCTCACGACTCATCGAACACCTTCCGCGATCGATAATACACTATTTCCATATTCATGGGAACTATAAATGTACGTTAACAGTTTGCGGAAGCGCGTAGTTAGATTATCATCCTGTGGTTGTCACCATGTCCAGATAATTCACAAAGAGATCCTATACCATGAAAAGATTCATGCTCGTTCATACCTTCGTAACGTGTCATCATTTTATATCATAACTAAAGTATAGAATCTTTTTCTTATATCTTACGCTAATACATACGTACGAGTACGTATTAATATTGTATCTAATCTCGGAACTAATTTAAAAGAAAACAGTTAAATTTAATTGAAAACAGTTAAAATATAATCTAAATGAAAATACAATTATTTTCTTTTCGATACACAACGAAAACACTCCTATACATATTTATATATATATATATATATATATATATATATATATATATATATATATCTATATATATAGATATATATATATATATATTTGTCGCGCAACGGAAATCCGATTTTATATCGTTCCTTGGTATGGAATCAAATATTTGCAAAAGAATCATCGTCATAGGAATGTACACAAAACTTGGACCAATATCCTCAGCCATTCTTTCAGTTTCCGGTACTCGTTTATGACATGAAAGATTAAAAAGACTTTTAGCTTGGATTTGAAAAAAAAAGGAAATGCTCCGAGAGAGAGAAAAGCTGCCCCTATATATATATATATATATATATATATATATATATATAAATATCGTTTCAAACATTTTCAAGTTATTATCATGCTTTTTCCTATAAACATTTTAAGATTACGGGCGACAGTCCAGAATAATAAATGCTCGTTATCGTGCAATAACACTCGTATACTTCAAAGTACAATTCGTGCATTAGGTGAGATCGTACGATTAGCACGACACAATCGCGTTAACAGTTATCGTGAAATAATCATAAACGTAAACGCGAATCGTGTCCTCGGTTTCGAGGCTATATCAATAACCCAACCGTAGTTCTAGAGTTTCCGATATGAAACGCATGTTTAATATAGCACGATGATAGCTCCTATAGAATGAGGTAGATCGTATAACACGATCGTGCTAGTTCTTTAGAATTTATGCGATATCGATTATTGCGTTATCGATTGAATTATTAAAGGAAAGATTAAAGTTAGAACGAAAGGAAAAGAAGTAACAGTCTTCGAAGATTATATTAATTGCGTCTTGATTTTTATTCGTTTGAACATTGGAATATCGATTATTTGCAAAAGTTAATTAATTCTGTCGATCTATAGGAGGAAGATGAGTTATGATTATTACATTAAGGAAAAATTATTCGTGATATTAAAATATTTAAAATATAGTTCGAAAGAGCTTTTTTATTCGACAAAAATTTAATGATTCTAAAATGTTTCATATAATGAGACAATGATATATATATATATATATATATATATATATATATATATATACAATCGTGTATTGTAAATATTAATAACGTCCAAACAGCATTCTCATCTTCTGTTTGATAATGTCTTATTTCTTCGAGAATGCAGTTCACGGATCTGGAAAATTCGTCGATCGAACGTCACTCTGACTTTTCTTCCTTTTCGTCTATCGAATCGAAACGCGAACGTCGTAATGAAAGGTCAGGCAATATCTTACAGAGAACAACAGGTAATGCAATATTCAATTTGCCTCCAACGATTTATACCAATTTCCTGTCTAACGCGCTGTACATTAACACCAACGGCGAACTAACTGGATTCGAATATCTCTAAATGCATTGGCTGCATGTGTTGTAATTCGATGTGATTAACAGCGCCACGTGTTGGTAACTGTACGAGCAAGTTGGCAATATTACCCATCTGGCCAGTTTAATCCCTCTCGCTTTACTCGAGATATCATCGGATATTACGACATTGCGCATTGAGAAATTTAATAAAGGTACAGTAACTTGATTTTCATCGAGAAAAATCGTTGTTCGTCGAACGAACGTATGAAGATCATTTCGTACGCGTAAATAGAACGAACATATATATATTAAATTTCCAAACGAAATAATTTACATGTTCATAATAGTTACTGATAAATCCATAAATCGATAAAAGTATTAAGAAAATTTTAATAGAAAAATTTAAGAGTTCAAACGCGATAACAGTGTTACGTTTTATTTAATGGAATTCACCAACGATATATTTCATACTAAACCATTTGTCGCGCATACAAAACCTCGTGAACATTATCTCTGTCGCTCTATTTCTCTTTTACCTTTCTTCTCTTCTCTTTTCTTCTCTTCTCTTCTCTTTACTTTTCTTTTCTTTCCTTTTCCCTTCCTTTTTTTCTTTTTCCTTTTTTCTCGATGCAAAGACGTAGGAAACGTTTCGACGTCGATCTTGATATAATGTCAAGAGTATCTTCAAAAATAAAGAAATTCTACGAGAAACCACGAAATAATATCTTTATAAAATATTAGATATACGATCGCTAAGAAATGATCTATTTGAAATTTTTAGAGCGTGAATTCAACATTTTATATACACTCTTTCTCGTAATTATAACGTACTTTATAATATAACGTACAATGTATAATCGAAGGTTATATGAAAGTTCTTTGAAAAAAATGTAAAAAGAAAAAAAAAAAAAAAAAGAAAAAAAAGAAATATATAAAAGAGGAAAAAATGAGAACTCGTAAAAATTCTATATTTTGCTCGACGAGCAACGTTTTAACACAGTGTTATCTGGTTTAGTGAAAATAATAAAGAAATAAATATAATAATAAGAATATAATAATAAAGAAAAAACAGAAAAAAAAAACAAAAAAAAAACAAAAAAAGAAGACGAAACATATCAATGAGACTTCTTTTACACTTTGTTTCTAACCCCCATAAAATTTATCCTTTAATTTACGATCCATTTATCTTTTTTCTCTCATTCTCTCTCTCTCTCTTTCTGTTTCTATCATCCCAATTTCTCTCTTTTTACAGACGGTAGTCGTTCAACGAACGTATACATATATACATACGTAAGTATATACCTTAAGCATAGGTAGAAAACGATACGCTTTCTTTAACCTCCCTTTCAACCTCCGCCCATCCCCACCTCACTCTCGCCCTCCCTAACCCTCTCGTAAAGTTGTCGACTCTCAAGAGGGTTTAAAACAAGCATACTATGTTTTCTCCTCTCCCCCCCCCCTCTCTCTCTCTCTCTCTTTCTCTTCTGTATACTGTATATATCGTTTATTGTTTATACATTGTAGATCGTTTGTTTGTATATCGAACAAATTTACGATAGCTCGTAGGATACGGTTTATTCTGGCGCCTACACGTTCTGGTCATCTCATTGATGCCCCCGGCACGTTAATACCAGCACGGTTGTTACAGGGGCGCAACGCTTTACGGTAATGTTGTCGATAAGCTGCGGATTTACAGATCGTCGAAGCTGCACGGAATACCGATGAACTATCGTGCGACTTCGATCTTACACACGCCGATTTATTTCCCCGATACGTTTTATTCCAATAAAAATCTCGAAATCGATCCCTCTCCTCCTCCAACCTATCCCTCCTATCACACCCATCGTCCCCTACTTCCATCGCCACTACCACCACCACCATCACCACCAACACTATCATCTCCTTCTCCTATCACCTCCTCCTACTCCTTCTCCCACTACTGGATTCGCTTATCTCTTGACCGTACCAACGTGCGATAGAAGTCCAACAACACGGCCCCTATTTACGAGATCCGATATATATATATATATATATATATATATATATATATATATGTGTTCGAAAAATCGAAAAAAGGGATGTGAATGAGAGGCCTCCTTTTCTGTGTTTTTTCTCTTTTGCTTTTATCCCTTCCCCACCGTCTTCTTTTTCTATTTTCACGATTTTCCTTTTCTTTTCTTTTTTATTCACTTGTCCATTCTTATCCTTATTTTTCTTTTTTCTCATAATTTTTATTCATATTTATATTTTTATTTCTCTTTCTCTCTCTCTCTCTCTCTCTCTTTTTTTTACTTTACAATGTCTGCCTTATATTTTTTATCAAGAAGTATAATCGACACGATATATTGTTATACTATAAATATCGTGATTGATAACGATGATTATTACATCAAATTGAACGGCATTTAATTACTTGATTATGAAATAACATAGGACAAATCAGATGAGATATTATCTATCGTTCATTTAGTACAACTTTGTCTTATTTAATCTTTATGACTAACTCACGTGATAACCAGCTCGTTTTGATGATTACAATTCGATCAACAAATATTTCAAATTTTCGTTCCTTACTTCCACAATTTAATATTATTAAATTGAATTATTTCATAATGAAGGAACATTTGTTTAATATTTTTTAAATCCTTGTAAATCGTGATATATAAATTTTACCTTTTATTCATTTCTTCTGTTTTTGTTTTCTTTTAAATAATTTAAAAATAACATAGAGTTTTGATCTTAATACATATGGTACTCGGACGTAAGATAAAATAAAAAGAGAAAGAGAGAAAAAGGGACGAAGAGAAAAAGAGAGAGAGAGAGAGAGAGGAAGAGAAAGAAATAAATAGTTTCGTATGCGTTACCACCTTTCATTCCTGACCCGTGGGCCGTCTATGGATTGGAATTTTTTTTAATTTCCCAAGAGAATAGCGGGAGGGATAGAAGAAGAGAGAAAGAGATAAAGAGAGAGAAAGAGAGAGAGAGAGAGAGTATGGGATCTCGCTGTACATCAAATCGAAATAATACAGAAAACGTTCTATCTCTTATATCGGTTCCGGTCGAATAAATCGAATAGATCATTCCAATTCTACCAACAAATACTTAACCATTT